AGCAGCACAACTCAGCTGCTCCGTAGCAAATATCCAGTTACTGTGCACCGCTCCTAGAATCTCCTGGGAGGAGTTTAACACATTTAAAACATAAAATGTGAGTGAAAGGCCCAGTAGGATGTTATTTACAAAGACGTAAAGTAAATAAATAGTTAAAGTGCAAGTAAATAAATAAATAAGTACGTAAATAAATAGACATTCAGTTCCAACAGACAGCCGGAACCTCACATCCTTTTTCTCAAAGGAAACAAATGTAAAATCTCCATATTACAGGCTTAGTAATTAGTACAAATTACTCACCTAACCAAGTGCCTCGCCAACCCAGACCGAGTTTTTGGTTCTGCCCCCAAGGATGCACTTTCCGCATCCTATCTAGGCTTACAGCAATAGACTCTATTACCAGTTTACAAGATCTCTTTGCTTAAGAAATCATTCATTAACATTTTGAAATCGTTAATACGACCTCACGAACTACTCAAGCCGCGGGCCTCATGACAAGACAAGCCATGAGGTTCCATGACTAAACAAGCCATGGTTTTCAAAACATTTTCTTTCACAAACCAATCCCTTTCTTTAAAACATTTTCAATGCCAAAATCCTTTTTGAAAACAGGCTTACAAGGAAAAATGATAGAAATCCTACCTCGCACTATCAAACCTGGGACTAGCGTCACCTTTTCTGACTTTCACTTCCTCAAGCCCCTTCAGTCTGAATCCTCAGCGATCACTTATGCAAGACAACACTTTAGGATTAATTCTCATTCCTAAAGCAATCCAAATCTCAATTTCCAACCAAGATTTCCTATTAGTGTGCCCTAATCCATTTTCATGTTTCAAATTATCATTCCAAGGGTTTTCAATCTCAAAACAAGGATTAACAATGCTAATCCATTTATCTCAAGTCCCCAAATGAAGTTAATTTGGGTTCTCCCCGAAAATAGGGGTCAAGACAGCAATTCCAGGCCAAACAGGGTCAAACCTCGTGTCAACCGGTCGACCGGTGACAGAGCAGTGCAACACTACCGGTCGATCGGTAGTGTGCACACCGGTCGACCGTACTAGTTGACCGGTCAGCCTGCAATCCGGTCGACCACATAGGTCGACCGGTGGAATCAGCTGCGCGAGAGAAGCTCACAGAAATTAGTTCAAAACCTGCAAATCTAGTCCCAAATCGAAATATTTTAAAGGGAAACCACTAGATCTGGGTTCTAGGTCCTAAAACAAGTCTAAAGAACCCAAGATCTCCAATTTCTACTCTAGTTTTACTCAAAAACCATCAAAATCCGGTTTGAACCAAAAATAAGTTTTGAAATTCAAGAGAGGTTCTTTCAGTAATCTTACCTCGAATCCTTCTCTTGAAGTTGAAAACTTCTTTAAATCTTTCCTTGGTTCAAGATCCGTTTGATTTGGGACAAAAATGAGAGAGAGAGAGAGAGAAAGATGCACGGAAGAGAGAGACAGAGGGAGTGAGAGAGAGATGCACGGGAAGGAAAAGGAAAGAAAAGGAAAAGAAAAGAAAAGAAAAAGAAAAGAAAAGGAAAAAGAAAAGAAAATGACATGTGTACAATATTTTAAATGAGCAGTCCAGAAATGCGCCCATACACATTTCTGGGTTAAAATAAACTACTGAGAATAATTTAAATACCTTGGAACTATTTAAACTCACAAGTGTCAGAAACATTTATTAATTAATACTCAATTAATAATTCAGGTTTGGCACACTAATAATCTCAATTACCTTAATTGATCTCAATTAATTCTTCAGGGTGTTACAGCTCCAAAGCCTTGTGTTTAGAAAACCAAAGTCTTCCACGTCAATTCCTTGAATCTACGTAGACGTGTGTGTGGGCACACTCGAGACTAAAAACGGATTTGATTAAACACTCAAATTTTTCACAAACACCAACGCATGCACGATGTGGAATTTTTGGGAGAAAAAATATTTCCTTCTCTCTATAACAGGGAATTCGGCCAGCCCCCTTTCAGTTAGGTTAAAAAATTGTCACGCGCAATTTTTCATCATCCTTTATTTATAGAGTAGAAGTCCAACTTTTAGAAGGAATCAAATCTCTCTCTCCTGTTTGAATTTTGAACAAAAAATTCTCCTCTAGTAGGTAGCCGGGAATGTTATTATACGAGATGGAATCCATTCTTTCTTGAGAAAGAAGTAGATAAATAATTCTCTTGAGGGTTGATTCGGTACTTGGACCAGTAGGAGCTCCGATTTATGAATGTGTTTTATGAATCACTGTCCATTAGAGAATCAATGGTACTCAAGGATAAA